ATTCTAATTACTAACATTTAAGGACTTTTGCTTCTATATGCATGAGTAATATTGGTTTGTAGTTTTCCCTTTTTATAGTCTTGTTTTGATGTTAGGGTAATACTGACTTTATAAAAAGACTTGAGAAGCAGTTCCTTCCTCTGCTATTTTCTGGAAGAGATTGTGTAGAATTGATGCTAATTGTACTTAAACATCTGGTTTTGAATTTAGCACTGTTCTATATATGGGAAAAAGCCAGAGTCTGGGTTCTTGGAAATCACTCCTTTGATATACACCTTAACCATCCAGGGTCAGTATCTGGCTTTTCTCCATCCTGAATCCACTCAGGGTGCACGTCTGGGGCAGCGGCGGTGGCTGATGTCTTGGTGGCCACAACCTTGTTTGCTTACTGATGTGGCAGGCAACGTTCTTGTTTATACCTCAATAATGTGGTGGTGGAAATTCAGAGCAGGGGAGTGTTTCATTTTGGCTGCTACTCTGTGTCTTTGTGTTGATGAAGACTTTGAAATAAGCATCATCTATATGCTCTTCCAGAGAAGGCAATGGCAACCCACTCTAGTACTCTTGCCTGGAAACTCCCATGGACAGAGGAGCCTGGTAGGCTGCAGTCCATGGGGTCGCTAAGTGTCAGACACAGCTGAGCAACTTCACTTTCACTTTTCACTTTCATGCACTGGAGAAGGAAATGGCAACCCACTCCAGTGTTCTTGCCTGGAGAATGCCAGGGACTGGGGAGCCTGGTGGGCTGCCATCTATGGGGTCACACAGAGTCGGACACGACTGAAGCGACTTAACAACAGCAGCTCACTTTTCACTTTCATGCACTGGAGAAGGAAATGGCAACCCACTCCAGTGTTCTTGCCTGGAGAATCCCAGGGACGGGGGAGCCTGGTGGGCTGCCGTCTATGGGGTCACACAGAGTTGGACACGACTGAAGCGACTTAGCAGCAGCAGCAGCATGTGCTCTTCAGGGTGGCCAAGACCTCTGTTGGAGCATTTTATATGCATCATTTAAGAGGCATCTACACCTCCATCAATTACATTTCACTATCCTCATGGTAGGCTCTCAAGCAAAAGGTGACAAGTTCACAGACTTCGGAGCAAGTGCCAGATACTCACACTCATCGCACTTCAAAGCCTATCATGATGGAATAAGTGACAATTCCATGCTAATTCACTAAGTCACTCACTTGTTTGACAAATGAACACCCATGACATACTGGGCCTGTGGGACTGAGATCAAGGAGTGCCCTCAACCATCCTACGGGCTGGAGTGGAGCTATTAAGGGAACAGTCTGCACCAGGGTGCAGTGTAATCTGCATTAGAGGTCCAGTGATTTGGAGCAGAGGGTTTCACAGCTCATCAGAGCTCACAGTCTGACGTGTATGAAATCCCTGCTTCCTTAGAGCCCTCCCTCTGCCAGCCCCGCGGATCCGTGGGTAGGCATGGTCCCTTTCCTCTTACAATGCTCCTGGTGGCAGATAGACATGTCCACTGATCTTTGTGCCATTTGGTGAGGATTATGCATGTGGACAGTGCTCCCCTGGGGGCTCAGATGGTAAGGAATCTGTCTGCAATGCAGGAGACCCCTGGTTTGATCCCTGGTTCAGGAAGATCCCACGGAGAAAGGAATGGCGACCCACTCCAGTACGCTTGCCTGGAGAACTGCATGGACAGAGGAGCCTGGAGGGTTACAGTCCGTGGGGTTGCAAAGAGTTGGACACGACTGAAGCGACTAATGCACACACATGCACATGGACGAGGGGTAGAGGGTGTGATGAGCTCAGTAGGGGGGTGTCAGTGAAGTCTTTGCTGAGAGTTAACGTATAAGCCCCCCTGTCCTGGAGGACATGCATCACGAGCCTGTCTTGTGGAAGAAAACAACACTGCAAAGGCACAGAGATGGGAGGATCACTGGGTGCCTGAGAAGATGCAGACAGAGATGGGAGGATCACTGGGTGCCTGAGAAGATGCAGACAGAGATGCGGACGATCACTGGATGCCTGAGAAGATGCAGCTGGCCGTTGTGGTGAAGGGGCAGCCGAAGGCCCGTGCAGCTGGAAGGAGAGGCTGCCTGGACCAGGCAGGAGTGTTGCTGGAGCTTCGACATGTTTGCCGGTTCCCACTGAAATGAATGCCTGGTGGTTATCATCCTTCACATGTGTGGCTCTGTGATGCAGACCCTGAGATGCAGACCCTGTTGCCTGGATGTCTCAGGGAGCTTGCTGACCCTGGAGGTCTAGCCAGTCCTGGAGATCTGAAAGGCACTTGAGCCTTTCTTAAGCAAGCTAGCCCCCTGGAGCCCACAAGCCCTGCCCACCTCCTTCATGGTTCACAGAGGGGCTACAGCCCCTTCAAAGTGTGACCTGCTATGGAAAGTAGGGGGCAGATTGGGCAGATCTGACCTGGGAGCCCTCCAGGAACTGGCCGGGTCTTGTGATACATTTCTCTTTCTTCCCCCGGGTGGTTTGCTTTCCTGACCTGATTCGATCAGGCCCAAGGCAGAGGGCAGAGCCTGCAGGCAGTGGTGAGACTGGCCGAGGAGGAGGGGCGGGCAGCGTGGGGTAGCAGGACAGCTCCAGGCTCTCAGAGGTGGGCGCCCAGCCCGCCTCCCCCTTTGCAAATGTGATTAGGTCTCTGCACAGCAGCTGAAATCAGGTTAGCATCTCTGAGCTGAGCCGCGTAATCAGAGCCTGGAGCAGAGCAGGTGCTGGGGTTAAAGCAGCTTCTGAGAATGAGGACAAGCTGCCTCACAGCCCTCAACACACGGAACACACGGGCCCTGCCGTCCCCCAGCCTGGCACATCCTCCTAGGAGCCTGGACCCCATGTTGCCCACATGCTGTGGAGGGAGCTGCCCAGGGATGGGGTTGGTTGGAAGGGCCTCAGGCATGGCCCAGTTCTTTATTGGCAGAACTGGAGTTAATAGCTGGACTCTCTTCTCGGTCTGATCCTGCCTGTTTGTCCTCAGACCTCACACTGAGTGTCTCACTTAAGCTAACAGTAAAGTAGGGGGTCCCAAAGACATCCAAATCAGGAGGGTCCTGACGACTGAATATAATGTCTGCAAAGCTCGCAGACCTGGCTGAGACATGGTCTCAGCTGAGGCCACTCCCAGGACTGGACAGCGTTTTGTTGATTTTACAAAATGCTCCACGGCAGAGTGAAAATATCAATACTAACATAAACATCTCAGAATAAAAGGTGTAATGTTAACCAAATCTCGTCATAAGAGTCAAACAGTACTAATATTTGGTGAAATTATTCTAGACTCACTGTCATATACACATTAATAGAAAACAATTTTAACAAGCGGGTATTCAGGTTGCATTTTAAAAACAGGTGGTATGGCATTTATTTCCATTAGGATTTAACTGAGGAAAATGAGATGAAGTGAAAGGAATTCCTGGATGTCAGAAGTGTCATTCCTAAGAGACTTGAGAAAATAATTTGCAGGTGATATTAAGATGGTTGAATCATCCTGTGGTTTTGTTTTGTTTTGTTTTTAAAGCTACACAAGCTTTAAGATATAGACAAAGCATTTTATAGGTTTCATGTTCTACCTACCAAACCAGGACCCTTAGACAAAGTGTTTTGATATTCAGTTATATTTCTGGGAGGAATTGCAAACTCCAGAGGAAAATGGCTCACTGACTCCGATTCCCACCCAGTGACTCTTCTGGTCAGGATTAAGCAGGCCTGGAGAATGGCTGGTGCTTGGACAGGGGCGGGGAGGGGTGTGAGGGGTGGGCACACAGGTGGGAGGACAGGGTCGGAGAAGCCGTGGGAAAGGGCAAAGGTGCAAGGTCTACGCTCTCTGACCTCAGGCTCTGGGCACATCCTGGTCCGGCGCATTTGTGTTGTAAGTGAGAAAGCAAACGCCCAGCAGGCGTCCGCAGGAGGCAGAGCTGGGCCTCCATCTGGCCTCAGTGTCCCACCTGCTTGGCTTCGACCTCTGTGTGTCCATCTTGCCTTTTCATTCTGGATGTCTCAGGAAGCTTGCTGGCCCTGGCGGTCTAGCCAGCTCCTCGGCACCTGAAAGGAAAGTGCCCCTTTCCTAGGCACACCAGCCTCTCAGAGCCCACAGACCTGGCCACGCGCCCTGCGGAGCTCTCACGCTCCAGGCCACTGTTCTCCTGCCCTGAGCCCCCAGAGCCAGGGGCCAGACAACCAGAGCAGCTCGTGTGCCCACAGCCCACTGCAGTGATCTGAAATGACTCACGCTTGTCAGCACTAAGCCTGCCTCGCCTGTTCCTTTCTGCTGGAACCTTGAGTTCATGCCCACCCTTGCCCCTCTCCCCAGCCCTTCCTCCACCTCCTGCTCAACACTGGTGCTTCCCTGTGTGGCCCTGCACGGCACGGCATCCCCTCTCCCTGTGGGTATCACAAGCTATCCGTGCAACGGCGATAGCCTCCCACACTCTTGGCCTTCCCTGGCTATGTCCGCTGAGCCATCCCCGGGCAGAGCCCCACACCTCCCTGGTCAGACTGCTTTGACTCTGAGACACGTTTGGTTTTCATATCAAACACAGGTGGGCGTAGGTGAAATGCAACGAGGGAGTCCTCCAGCCTGGTTCTCAAGTTTACAGGCTTTGTTTTTCTGATCCTTCCGTCTCTATTCTCGGAGCACAGATAATTGCTGGAGGCTCCATAAAGGCCACACAGAGTGAATGAAATTTCAGTCTTGTCACATTGAAAGAGAAATTTCATTATTTAGACAGCACCCGCCACCATAAATCAATTAGGCTCTTTGGTTTTGAAAACATCAGATGCTTTTTGATTGTTTGGAGGCTGTTTGCATGCAGTGAATGTTTCAGCACCCAATCTGTGCCAGCAAAGTGTGAGCTCCTAGCAACACGAACAAATAAGATGCAGACCCTGGTCTCAAGAGCTTCATGGGTTTCCAGGGCTGGGCCTGGGGGTGTGGCTGTGTGTGTGGAGGTTACAGCAGGGACTATGACATAGGACTGAACAAAGGACATTTGCTTCTTACCCTCCAGGTGGTGGCTACACTGGGGACCACATCCTGCTGCTCCTTTGACAACCTCTTAGAAGTGGGGCCCATTTGTAAGTATTTGATTAAATTTTATTTGGAAAAAATTTTCCTGATATCCAAAGACTTTAGTGAACTGTCTCTTTGGGCTCTCCTTCATATATTAACTTAATATTATATTATACCATTATATAATAATATATTATAATATTATAATAATATATAACTGACTCATTGGAAAATACCCTGATGCTGGGAAAGATTGAGGGCAGGAGGAGAAGGGGACAACAGAGGATGAGGTGGTTGGATGGCATCACCGACTCAATGGACATGAGTTTGAGCAAGTTCTGGGAGTTGGTGATGGACTGGGAAGCCTGGCGGGCTGCAATCCATGGAGTTGCCAAGAGTTGGACATGACTGAGCAACTGAACTGGCTGATACTATATTATATAAATGTAATATAATTACATAGTAATACACCATATTATAATATAATGTTAAAATCATGAAACTTACTGTGGGATAGTCTGCCAAACTCTTCTCACATTTACATTGAACTCCAAAAACTCAGAACTTGGGCTAATTGGACAACAGTTAACCTTAGCTGTACCAACACAGTGTTAGTAAGTGAAATACAACAGTGATATCAGATTGTAAAGGCTGTGTTGTTCCATTGAAGAGAACCAACTTTGCAGATTCTCAGAGGGTTGTGTGTGGGATGGCAGGAGAGTTTCCTGTCCTTGGAGTAAATCTTCCAGCATCTTTTTTTTTTTTTTTTTGCCTTCTTGGAATTCCTGAATATAGATGAGCAAATTAAAACAATTAAGCAAATAAATTTAAACAAACAAAAAGACTAGATTCCTCCCAAGAAGAAAGTGAGCTTTGCGTGTTTACTGGGAGCCTCCCTGGAGAAGGGAATGGCAACCCACTCCCGTATTCTTGCCTGGAGAATCCCGTGGACAGAGGAGCCTGGCGGGCTACAGTCCATGGGGTCACAAAGAATCGGACGCGACTGAGGGGCTAACAGCTCACTTAACTTCCCTCCTCCCTCAGTGGAGCATTGAGGTTTTCTTAAACAGAATTCAGAGAATTCAAAAGTGAGCCGGGAATAAGTGGCTTGGACCTGAGGCTCTAGGAACGCAGCAGGGCTTTCTCTTGCGGGAAGGCCTCTCCTCAGGCAAGGGCCCGGCTTATGAGCATCCTCTCTGTCCTCGGGGCAGGAGAACCAGCTCCTTAGCTTCAGGCAGAGCCGCTGCCCAGGGCACGGGGAAACAGGTGGCAGGAGCCAGCTGGAGGGCCTAGAGGTTTCCTGGCCGCGCTGTGGCTTGTGCCAGGCATCCAGCCGTCCGCTGGGCCTGGCTCACTGCCCACTTGTGGAGCTCCAGGGGCTTCTCAGCTCTCCTCACCTGGGCCCACCTGTGGACCACACTCAGGGGATGCAGGAGTGGACCACCTCCCCCCACCACGAGTGATGGCTGGATGGCGTGCGTCGAGCCGGCCGCAATCACAGCAGCAGTGCCGCAGCCCAGCCGCCCTGTGGCTTCAGTTCTGAGCTCTGCCCCCGTCTGCAAAGTGCAGTCAGAAGCACTCGTCATTGTGAACTGATGGGATTCCGAGTGACTGAGTTAACAGGCAGAGGGGGTGCGAGGCAGGGGGGTGGGAGGAGCCCTCGGGACCCAGGAGATGTGGAGCTGTTGGCTGGCCCACCAGGTGGCCGCGGGTGCCCCTGGCCTGTCCCCACGGGCGCCAGCTCCCCAGCCGTGACCATGGCAGACGTCTGTCCCCGCCACTGGCTGGAGTCAGAGGCGCAAGGCCGGGGTTGGGGGCCAGGGAGGAGGGACAAGCTGGCTGTGGCCATAGGCGTGGCTTCACGAGCTGCCCACCCTGATCCTGGGCCAAGGCGCTGGGCCACTGGATTCAGATGTCAGGCCGGGAGCTGGACGTCCGGGCCCCTGGCCAGCTGATGGCAATCCACGGCTATCAGATTAGAGGGCTGAGAGCCCCGCGGGGCACAGCCCACAGGAACCTGCCCCCAGCACTGGCTGCTCCCCTGTCCTGGGGCTCCCAGGGCTGGGGGCTGTGGCAAGAGCTGGATCATTGAGGGGCTTTTGGTGCCAAGTGTAGAGGCTGTTCCCGGGGGGCCGAGGGATCCAGTGAGCACCACTACCCTCCACTCACTGCCCAGGCTTATGCATGAGGGCAATTTGGACGATTCTATTTATTATTGGCAAGGCTCTTATTAACCATGGGTGGTGTCTTCACAGTTGAATGAGCACCTTTTACCTGCTTGCCCTCCTCTGAGTGGCGTTTTCTTGCTTGTCACCAAATATTTAGCATTCTTCAACTTTGGACAAGACCAGGTCAACCTTGTTCTATAGTGCGATCAGAGGAAACCATTAAAATAATTCAGATTAGTCATCTTGGCCAGTATTGACCAAGAGGCTTATCAGAACCTGGTTTTCTCCCAACTGCTGCTTTAGGAAAGGTGTTTTTTTTTTTTAAAAAACAATATTTATTTATTTATGTATGTGTTTGACTGCTCCAAGTCTTAGTTATATCACATGGGATCTTCAGTTCTCATTGAGGCATGTGGGATCTTTGGTCTCAGCATACAGACTCTTTTTAAACTTGATTCTTTCTCTGCGGCTGCACTGGTTCTTCACTGCTGTGCACGGACTTGCTCTAGCCGCGGCCAGCAGGGCCTCTCCTTAGTTCCTGGGCGCATGCTTCTCCTGGCGGGGGCTTCTCTCGTTGCAGACCACAGGCTCCAGGGGCCTTGGGCCTCAGTAGCTGTGGCCCCCGGGCTTAGTTGGTCCATAGCACGTGGGATCTTCCTGGACCAGGGGTTGAACCCATGTTCCCTGCATTGGCAGGTGGATTCTGAACCACTGGATGGTCAGGGAAGTCCCATGTGAACTCTCTATTTACAGCACGTGGGATCTGGTTCCCTGACCAGGGAGAGACCCCTGCATTGGGAGCGCAGAGTCTTAGGCACTGGATCACGAGGGAAGTCCCAGGAAAGACATTTTCTGTTTAGTTTCTTTTGAAACAACTTGCCAGTGAGACTGTTTCAGTTGGTCATCTTGGAGTGATCAGTGGGAATTCCTGGTAGATTTTATTGAGAAAAGGATAAGAAACAGAAAGCAGAGAGTTGAAGGCAGACAGGCAGAAGGTATGAAGGTGGGAAGCTGACGCGGAGGTCCCCGGGAAGGGGAGGAGGGGAGGGGATACAGGGCAGGCAAGATGGAATGGCTGGTAAGGATGCAGCGGACACTTCCAGAGGGCTGCTGCTTCTGTCCGTGGGGCCATGGAAGCCTTGTAAGGAAACATGCAGGCAGCGAGAGCTCAAGAGGGACAGCGGCTGCCTCCTCCTTTGTGGCCGGAACAGAAAGCTCCCTGTCCAGGCAGCCTCATCTGGGTGCTGGCCTGATCCTGGGGCGTGCAACTCCTGTGTTCCAACCATGGGGTCTCCAGGACCCCCGAATCCTACAGATATCCTCAGTATTTGAAGAGGCTAGGAGGCAGGTTGTGCTGTCAGTCAATCACATGTAAGACTCAGGATGTGGCCATGGTAGCCTTGGCTCTTCCTTTCCTCGTGGAGAGAGAACCCCATTGGGAATCCACTCAGCAAGGGTATCCAGAAGTTCCTTCTACAGGAGTTTATATTTAGTCTTTTCCTTTTTCAACTGAAATGTTTATTGAGATAATGATAGAGCCACATGTATCTGGTTCAGTCACTTCATCACATAGAGAAAGGGATAAAGTAGAAACAGTGACAGATTTTATTTTCTTGGGCTCCAAAATCACTGTGGACAGTGACTGCAGCCATGAAATTAAAAGATGCTTGCTCCTTGGAGGGAAAGCTGTGATAAACCTAGACAAACATATTAAAAAGCAGAGACATCACTTTGCCAACTAAGGTCCATCTAGCCAAAGCTGTGGTTTTACCCGTAGTCATCTATAGATGTGAGATCTGGACCATAAAAAAGGCTGAGTACTGAAGAATTGATGCTTTTGAACTGTGGTGCTGGAGAAGACTCTTGAGAGTTCCTTGGACAATGAGGAGATCAAACCAGTCAATCCTAAAGGAAATCAACCCTGAGTATTCATTAGAAGGACTGTTGCTGAAGTTGAAGCTCCAATACTTTGGCCACCTGATGCAAAGAGTCAACTTGTTGGAAAAGACCCTGATGCTGGGAAAGATTGAAGGCAAGTGAAGAAGAGGATGACAGAGGATGAGATGGCTGGATGGCATCACTGACTCGATGGACATGAGTTTGAGTAAACTCCGGGAGTTGGTGATGGACAGAGAAGCCTGGTGTGCTACAGTCCATGGGGTCACAAAGAATCAGACTTGATTTAGCAAATGAACAACAGAGCCACATAATAGACAACCTCTGTGTACTTTTCCCAGTTTGTTTTGATGGTAACATTTTGCAAAACTGCAGTACATGTCACTACCAGTCAGGGTGTGTCCCTGGGCTGTCACAGGCTGGCGGGAGGCTGCCTACATTTCCTGGCCCCTCCGGGAGATCCAGTGAATACTTGTAGTTCCCAGTCCTCCAGGACTCAGAACTGATATGAAATGGCCCAAAGCCCCATTTTAAGCCCTGCTGTTACACTGTCTGGGGGATGAGTCCTAGCAGACACAGGTTTCCCCTCCCCAGAGCCAAGGGCAAAGGCCAGAGCTCCTTGGGGTGAAGCTAGTTCTCTCTGCAGCCGTCTTTCTGGGGACCCCCTTCCCACCGGAGGCCCCTCTGCCTTTCCCCACCCACTGCTCCCTCCGAGATCCCCTGTATCCTCTGGAGTGACACAGCCCTGGGGGCTGGCATCATTCCAGCCCCCTCCTTGGGGTCTGGGTCGGATCTCCTCTCCTCTGTCTTCCCAGGCAAGGCCCAGCTAAGGGAAGGGGCTGTGGTTTCACTGTGCGACGAGCATCTTTCTCACGGGGTGAGGGCTGAGGGGCCCCCAAACTCCATCCCCCTCCTCCCGCCCTTGCAGCTGTATTCCTTCCTACCTTGTCTGCCTGAGCTGGACACAGACCCTGGCATCTGTCAGACACTACCCAAGTGCCTCTAACAGAAAATGCAGTTCTCTGACAGCGGCCTCCGCGGCCCCACGGAGGACCCAAGCTTGCCCTGAACTTTTGTGTCCATCCTGCACGCGTGTCTGAAGCTTCTCCCTCCCTCAGTAGAGCTGAGCTTTAGCAGCGACCGATGACAACGTTCTGCAGCGGTGCTGGCCCTTGTGTCCTTTCATGACCCCATTTCTCCTAAGGCTTCATGCCCTTTCCGGCACACAGCAACATTATGGGGGGCTCTGAGGGCACCCAGAGGCAGGCTGGTCTGTGTGAGGCATTTTAGGCCTCACCCAGTGAGACCCTGTGTTATTTACCATTGTCCCAGGACACATTTGAGCTTAATCCAACTGAGAGCTTTCGTTCCTTCCATCCTGAAGATCAAACTGAATCATGGCTTTGAAATGTCTCTTCCATCTTTTATCAGCAGAATTCAGAAGTGCTCCTCACTCCTCATAGCATTTGTGTGTGATGAACCAGCATCACGCAGGCAAAAGTGAACTGTGAATCTATTCACCTGCACGGATGCATTAGTGGGTCCTGACCAGCCCTTGCAAGGGTGCTCTGATCCAGGTTTCCTGGGGCAGCATCTGCCCCCATAAGGGAAGGAGCCCACCCCTTGATCTAGACCCACCACCTCTCCTGCTTGCGTGTTTCACAGCTATGGGAAGCCCCCAGTGCTGAGGCTGGGAATAATCACAGTGATCACGTCATTCCTCGCTGAGTCTGTCCTACTGTCATGATGGGTGCAGTATGAGTGCCATCTGGTTTATCCCTTGGGGTCTGAGTGCTGTTTTATCTCCATTTACTGAGAGCAGAGCGAGCATGCAACATGGCAGTAAGGCCACACAGCTGCTGGCACCTGGGGGAGGGATTTGAACCCAGATGCACCCGAATCGAGGGAGCACGTTCAGACAGGACTCTCCCCCAGCTCAATGCTAGAAGGTTCCTGTCCTGTGAAACCCTTCTCGTCTGGCTGGAACCCAAGATTCACACTCATGAAAGGAGCTGAGAAGATTCAGGAAGCATAAAATAGGTGCCTGAACTTCCTGTGGGGATGGAGGGGAGGCAGAGAGACCAGTGGGGACTGTGGGTAGTCCCAACCTCAAGAGATGCTTGTGGGAAGGGCTTCAGAACCCAGAGAATTGGAAAGAAAGTTTGCAGTGAGTGAGGCGGGCAGAGCAGAGCAGAGTGCATACCTGGAGTGGATGTGGACAGCGGGATGAGAGTGGGGTATGCTGGTCTCATGGAACTCTGCTGGGCTGAGGGTCAACTCCGAAAGTCCAGGTGCTCCCCTCGCCTCCATGAGTGTGCTGCATATTGGTCCCCATGCCTGGCGCTGTCGGGCCAGCAACAGTGAAGGGCTGCTGCTTCAGCATCACCGCCTGTCAGGGATGCAGGCCTCAGACCAACCAACACTATTGACAGACCATGTTCAAAAGGTGCCAGGATGGGACAGGTGCTTGACTCCGGCACGGGGACACCCTCCAGGACTCACAGGTCATTTCTGGGCTTCAGGTCACGAGGAGGGCTTGTGGCTGCATGTGGACGCCGCCTACGCGGGCAGTGCCTTCATCTGCCCTGAGTTCCGGCATCTTCTGAACGGCGTGGAGGTGAGTGTGCTCTTCAGCAAGATCACTTTTATTTATTTACTTATTAATATTTTTATTGGGGGGTAGTTGCTTTACACTGTTGTGTTAGATTCTGCTGTATAGCAAAGTGAGTCAGTTAAACATGCTCAGTGCTCTGCGTGAGCTCAATGGGCAGGAAATCATTTTTAACAGTCACACTGTCATCAGTGATTTGTCTTTATAAGGATGTGATACTTTTATTTTTCACTACTGTGGTTCGTTTCAGCAAGTGATTTCCATACCCATTTCTGTGCTGATTAGAAGTTACACCTCCCTGTGACAGGGGGTGAGGACCTTCCTGGTTCCAAAACCTGTCTTCTCAAAGACACACCTGATGTTTATACTATTTCTCAGTCTACAGATCCTGGGCAGAGCTGCCATGATAGGGTAGATTTTTAGTTCATAAGATGATGGGGAAATATTTAGGAAGAAAATAAAACTCTTAATGCATTTCAGATCAATGGGTAGTTTTTAAAAACCAGTCCACCATTCCATTCAGTCTAAGTCAATCTCACAGTCGTGTTCTGGTCATGCAACTGAGCATGATGTTCACGTTCATAGAGATGGAGTGAGCAGCTATCAGTACATTTAAATGTCCCATGCACGCTCGGAATTTGGAATATATGGCCTGTAATGCCTCCTAAAACATCTGATTCTTTTTAGAAACAGCGATCAAAACGGTTGGCCGATGGTCTGCTTCTCCAGGGTGCAGACTTAACACACGGAGATTATCTTAGGGACAGATCCTGATAAATTATTCCAGACTCAAGCAGGTTTTCACTGTCAGCAGCTCCCAGGGCAGGAGGTTCCTTCTTGCCAGGGTCTCAGATGTACATGCAGCGAAGGGCCCAGAGCAGCAGGCTTTGTCAGTAACGACTTCATGCTCAGAGGCAGGGGTTTCTTGAGACCATGGCCTCAGTGGTGCAGGAATCAAGGGTGTTGTCTTGGGCTGGAACAGCTGGTTTGCATCCTGGCTTTGTGTCAAGACCAACCATGTCCCCTTGGGCAGCCTAGTAACCTCTCCACACCTCACAAAATGGATTTCATAATCAAGCCACCTTTGAGGGGTTATTATAAAAATCAGAAGCATTAATCATATTTAAAGAGCTGAGAAGCAGCACCCACACACAGCAAGCTATGCACACAATACATGTTATTCTCATTTCCCACTACAACCTGGAGAGACTGTCCCTCCAAGCTTCTCTCTGATCTGTTGTCTGCTGCCAATCAATTTTCTAATGAGTGATTTGAATTCTTATAACGCCATAATACTAGAAAAATAGGTATCAGTGGTATATAATACAAAATTCTCATCTTTGAAATGAGTAATCCTTTTGTCACTAATGAATGAAGGTGCATTCTGGTTTATGCCTCCATCACATCCATCCATTCACTCACTCATTCGTTCGGTAATTACTTATTGATCTCTGAATGTGTGCAAGTGCTTAAATCAATCCTCGGGGGTACATGGAGGCCTCTGGAAATCTTGGGAAGGGGTGAAATTACATGAGAAATTCTGGTAACAGGGTGCTCACACTGACTCCTATAGTTCATGGCTGATAGTTGGGTGAGTGGGTGTTTGGTGCTGGGAAATAAAGAAGAAATCTCTCCACCACGTAAATACTTTTTGTTGGGGTCCTATGTGTGATGATCATATCACTGGGAATGTCTCCCTCCCCTGGGGCCTCAAGAGACCAAGGGCAAAGCATCCATCAGGATGTATGTGCCCCTCCCAAGGCCTGGTCTTTTCCAAGTGTCTAATGTAGAATTTCATGATCTGTTCCCACTATACCTCTTCTCTTCCCCAGGAACCAACAACTCAAAAGTTTCACTTTCCTGAGGTGGTGTCAGACCGCCACAGTGGTGGGGCAGCACTCCACCCATCTCTCTGCACTGAGTTCCTATCAGTATCAGATAGGATTTCACACCCAACAATGAGTAATGCCATCCAACCTCCTATGGTCCCTGGGCTGGGAGGGCTGGCCGCTCAGCTGGCAGATAAGGGACTGTAATATCCTGTCTACCCGGCCCAGCCCTGCTGATAAGCGCCTTCCTCTCTATCAGCAGGAAGAAACATCCCTGTGGGTAATGAAAGAGCGGTTTAAAGAGATCAGCCCCCAGGAGGGAACTAATAAAATTCCTAGCAAACAAAGCCCTTCTTTCCCCTTTTGTTTCTCATTATCAACAAATGAAACTCCTTGTCATTTCCTGCCTCTTTCTCAACTTTGCTTTTTATTGGAACCTGGAGGGAGATGAATCTGCGCCCTGGAGTGGGTGGAGGGGTGAGGTGGCCATCAGCAGATCCAGGGTCTGCCCTCCGGCCCCTCCTGGCCCCCTTGTTCTCCCGCCTCCTCCTGCTCCTCCCTCGTCAGGATGGAGGAGAGGTGTCCGAAAGCCTCGGGAAGACTCTGAAGCCTCCCCCTAGGAGATTCCTCCCAACTGGGGTCTTGCCCGGCTGCTGTCTTCAGTCCGCTCCAGTTATAGATACAGGCACATGGCCTCAGGGGGACTCAGGTCCTGTCACTCAGCCATAGGACAAGCCAGGGGCATGTGCTCTGACAAGTCAGGGAAAACACAGACTGCCCGAGTCAGTCTTGGTGGCTGAAATCTCTTATTTGTCCTACTTGAAAACAGGTTGACACTTGAACTTGACGAGTGACCCTAGAGCAGCTGTTGGCAGTTGTTACCACTGGTGTCCAGAGACCCTCTCACTGTTTTGAGTATAATGAATGTGGATAGTGTCTTTAGAACGAAGAAGAAAATATTTAGATAAACAAGAACAGTTGTTGCTCTATTACATCCATATTGGTAAAAGAACCATCCAATTCAATGAAAAATGGGCTGATCCTGATTGCTGTATATTAGTTATGATATTTTCATTTCCCATTGTTGATCATGGTACGTATACTCTGAGAACTTTGCTAGTTCACAAAGTTTGGGAAACATGCATAAAGTATTTTCTAAGCTGAGTCAGTCCAATTTTCTGCCGTAGCACCTGTGAATTAAAATTCTGATTGTCAAATAGTCTAGTAGTGTGAAGTGTGGATAAATTTTATGTGACTTTGGAGTATGCAAAATTGAAAGCACACAACATAAAATATGAATAACATCTCATTTTATGTGGAAAAGTAGAACTATGACTTTCCTCAAAAATGAATCGGGATTCACCAGTGTCAAAGCAGGAGAGCCCACTGAACTATAAAGTGTGTTTGTGTTGCTTCTTGTGGGTGGGCATCCTCATGGATGATAGAAATGTCCCATGACCTTTGTCAGGGTCGGTCTTGGACTATGCTTTTGAAATTCTGCATGTTTTATATTATCCAAGGTCCCTGAAACGCATCCCTTGATCCAAATGGGATAGCCCTACACCAAGTTAGGATTAACACATTTATTTTTGCATATATATTTTAGGAAGGCCTTAGATATTATCTAATTCCAATCCCTCACATAAATTCCCATAGAGAAATGCTGCTGCCACTTCAGTAAATAAAGGGTGTTGCAGCCTTCCAGACATCACCTCACAGCCGCCCCTGAAAGTGAGCCTTGTGGGGACTCAGGATAGGAATGCCCAGCACACCGGCCCCAGGTAGCTGGGATTCCCATCAAGGTAACGATTTCAGTGAGCCCAGACTCATGCATCTTTCCACACAAAGAAAAGTCCTAAATTCCTTAACTCCACACATGTGGTTTCCTTGGCCTGTGTGATAAGTCACTCAGTCGTGTCCGACTCTTTGCGACCCTATAGACTGTAGCCTGCCAGGCCTCTGTCCATGGCATTCTCCAGGCAAGAATACTGGAGAGGGCTGCCATTCCCTCTTCCAGGGGACCTGCCTGACCCAGGGATCAAGCCCTCATCTCCTGCGGCTCCTGCACTACAGGCAGATTCTTTACCACTAAACCACCAGGGAAGCCCTTGGTTTTCTTTGATTGACAGTAATCTGATGTTCCAACTACCTGATATTTGTTGCAAAAACCCCTATGTAGCTTGGCTTCCCCTTCCCTTTTCAGGGCAGTCCCTCGGAGTGACCTGAGATGCTGTCTTCTGGGCTTGAAGTCCTGGGAAAGTCCGTCAGTATAAAGCCTAACTCTCAGCTTTTAGGTTGTGCTTTTTTTTCAGCCGACAAGCTGGTACCTTTTATGCCCAGTGGACCAGTCTCGCTCTGGTTCTGTGGGTGCCCCCTGCAGGGTGCCCCCAAGGCACATCCCTACCAGCTCAGCGAGCCCCTCCCTCCCCTCTATGCGGGGAGCCTGGTTTAGGGCTGCCTGTGACGTCATTTTATAAGCCCCGCCCAATGGCTGTTCTTACCAGCTCTCTGGGCTCAACCAGAGCTGCTCGAGATCATAGCTGCTTTTTCCATCCCATGGCTCCCCTCCTGTGTGGCCGGCCCTACAACCACAGAGCGGTTACAGGATTTGCACCAGACGGTTTCTGCGTCACCCTCAGGACCTGCGCTGAGGCGTCCACGGCTGTTGCCTCATGACTTTCCCACGAAGCAGCACTCCCAGCCAGGCACACGGGGAAGCAGTGGTGCTCAGATGCCAACCCAGATCCTCTTCCTCCCTTGTGCCTCAGCCTAGAGTCAGACACATTAGCTTCATGTTTCGTGAGGTAGGATTTGAAATGAATGGAATGGGCTCAGGTAGGTGGGGTAGCTGCCCAAGTGCCCACGAGCCCCAGCCCCACAGTTTCACCTGATTCCCATTCTGTCTGACTGGTCAGACTACTTTTATCTGAGAATACAAACTGTTAATTACTATGCATGAGGTCTTGTTTTTAGCTAAGCATTAATGACTGAAGTGTTTTCTTTTTGTTGTTTTTATTCCTTGGCAGTTTGCAGATTCGTTTAACTTTAATCCCCACAAGTGGCTCTTGGTGAATTTTGACTGCTCTGCCATGTGGTAAGTCTCCCTGTTCATTAGATGTCAATTACCCTGCAATTACCCTGCTTCTTAGACAAGTTTATATGAAAGAAACCTGGCAGGTGAAGCGACATTGCTGGGGAAGCACATAAAACACTACCTGCCTGCATTTCTGCACAGTGGGTAGAGTTCTTGCTAAATCTTACCCTGTCGTATGCTGTCATCTAGAACATATTGGCACAATAGAAGTTTAACAGAGAAAATATCTGACCTAATTTACCTAGTATTAACAACAACAACAAAACAATACAAATTAACCTTAGTACATATTTGTAATTCATTTGCTTTTATGTTTTTATTATTAAATGTTTAATAAATCTAAGTCTAAATGCTTAAAAGCATTTGCTAAGCAAAAATAAAAGTAGTTCTATTTTCTAAGAAGTTCCCTGGGAATTCTTAATAGCCATACCATCAGCACATTGGTTATATTTAGAGCAAGAAAAAAGAATTCAGAAATTAAAGGGGATGACATTTCACTTCACTGATGATGTTTAAAGAAATTATGAAGACCGGAGTAGAATGGGATCATTAGAAAGTAGTGCTTCTTAGTTTATTAGAGTAAGAAGTTGGTTAATAAATCCTTAGATCTAGTAGTTTTGCATGAATTTTGTGCAAAATTGTTTATTGCTTAATTAAAGGAATGGATTTCCACCTTAAAAAGCTGAGGAAAGCAACGGAAGTCGGCTCCCCAAGCTCACCTTAACTTACCTTTCTAAAGATAAGCTGCATTCAGTGCATGGTCATTGTTTAGTCACTTAAGTCATGTCTGACTCTTTGCCAGCCCATGGACTGCAGCCCGCCAGGCTCCTCTGTTCATGGGATTTCTAAGGCAAGGATACAAGGATCTCCACGGGATCTTCCCAGTCTGGGAATTGAAACTGCCTCTCCTGCACTGGCAGGCAAATTCTTTACCACTGAGCCACTTTTAGGTCTGTTTAAATCATATTTCCTTTTTTGTCAGTCTTAGCCCCAAACTCTGATACATGATTTTAAAACCCGTTTGTATTTGGGCTAAAGTTTGTCAGAAATGCTAATAAGAACTTAAAATAGCTTTTATGAATCTTAGTATTCTTGTGGTTGTGTTTGCCTATTTTACCTAAAGGAGAACACTTTGAGGATAGTTTGTATAGCATGTCAAAACTCCCCTTTCTCTAACTTTAAATTCGGTTGAGATGGAATTCTTTTCTGCTGGGGTATTTGATCAGGTGCAGACACTGTCCAGGGGCTTCCCTGGCGGCTCAGACAGTAAAGAATCTGCCTGCAATGCAGCAGACCTGGGTTCCATCCCTGGGTTAGGAAGATCCCCTGGAGAAGAGAATGGCTACCGACTCCAGTATTTTTTTAAATTAATTAATTAATTTTAATTGGAGGCTAATTACTTTACAGTATTGTAATGATTTTTGCCATACGTTGACAAGAATCAGCTATGGATGTACATGTGTCCCCCATCCTGAACCCCCCTCCCACCTCCCTCCCCATCCCTTCCCTCTGGGTCATCCCAGTGCACCAGCCCTGAGCACCCTGTCTCATGCATCCAACCTGGACTGGTGATCTGTTTCACATATGGTAATATACATGTTTCAGTGCTATTCTCTCAAATCATCCCACCCTCACCTTCTCCCACAGAGTCCAAAAGTCTGTTCTTTACATCAGTATCTCTTGCGCTGTTTTGCATATAGGGGCATCATTACTGTCTTTCTAAATTCCATATATATGTGTTAGTATACTGTATTGGTGTTTTTCTTTCTGACTTACTTCACTCTGTATAATAGGTTCCAGTTTCATCTACCTCATTAGAACTGATTCAAATGCATTCTTTTTAATAGCTGAGTAATATTCCATTGTGTATATGTACCACAGCTTTCTTATCCATTCGTCTGCCGATAGATATCTAGGTGGCTTCCATGTCCTAGCTATTGTAACAGTGCTGCAATGAACTTTGGGGTACATGTGTCTCTTTCAATTCTGGTTTCCTCCGTGTGTATGCCCAGCAGTGGGATTTCTGGGTCTTATGGCAGTTCTATTTCCAGTTTTCTAAGGAATCTCCACATTGTTCTCCATTGTGGCTGCACTAGTTTGCATTCCCACCAACAGTGTAAGAGGGTTCCCTTTTTTCTGCACCTTCTCCAACATTTATTGTTTGTAGTCTTTTTGATAGCAGCCATTCTGACCAGCGTGAGATGGCACCTCATTGTGGTTTTGATTTGCATTTTTCTGATAATGCGTGATGTTGAGCATCTTTTCGTGTGTTTGTTAGCCATCTGTATGTCTTCTTTGGAGAAATGTCTGTTTAGTTCTTTGGCCCATTTTTTGATTGGGTCGTTTACTTTTCTGGAATTGAACACCCAGAGAGATTCACAGAGTCAAGTAGAGAAGAGAAGAGGGAGGCAGGAGATAGATGTGACCTGGGGGAGAAAAGGCAGTGTCAAAAGGGGAGAGAAATCAAACCAGCAATCACACCCTTAGGTAAAAATGGCCAACTCCAGTGTTCTTGTCTAGAGAATTCCACGGACAGAGGAGCCTGGTGTGCTACAGTCCATGGGGTCGGATACTACTGAGCAACTGAAACACACACACACAGATGCTATCTGAAGGAGTTGGTGGATGGATTGTGGCTCCAGAGTACCCAACTGGTATGGAGTCAATGTGAGTCCCCATGTGTATCCCAAAGGCCTCTGTTCTGGGAGAAGGGCTGGCCTCAGAGCAGGTTAACTAGCAGCTAAGGAGTCGTCAGTGGCCAGTGAGCCATTTGACTGAGAAAAGCCACAAAATTAGCCTGGCCAGATCAGCTGATGGCTGATGAGGGAAGGAATGAGATGACTCCAGATGGTCTTGTGATAAGCCGTGGTGTTTTACTCGTTTCCTGGGTAAAATAATGTCAGAAATGGATGTTCAGTGAGTCCCGGTAGGTGCAGCTCCATCAACACACTGATTAGCCGAAGTCACTGGCCCAGCAGGTCGCCCTGCAAGGGGGACATTGACATTGCGGCCCCGTCTTCCAGATGCGGAGACTGCAGCTGTCAGGGCCCACTGATATGTGAGCCGGATGTTGAGACGGCATCTGTCAGGGACCACTCATGTATGACCCGGATGTTGAGACGGGATAAGGGTGAATACGATGAAAGCAGCATTGCACTCCCGTGTCCAGAAAGCCAGGGAGCGAGTTAAGGATAAGAGAAGACATGTTTCATCAGGGGCTTTTCTCGGAGCCTGGTGTGACGGCTGAGGCTGCCATGGACGCTGGGTGAAGATGCAGCCAGAGCCTGGGGCTGGGAGTAACTGTGTCTCTGAAGCGTTCCTCCTGTGTCCGGTTCAGACACCAGCCCACAGAGGGGCATAGGCAAAGGGGAGGACGCTCAGTCAGTTAGAGAAGGGAAGGCAGAGTTGAGGGTCATGAATCTGTAGGAGAAACCTGAACATGAGCCACAAGACACAGGAGTGGTCCACAGTATTTGATAAGCTGCCACAGAGAAGGGCAATTAGTTACCCTTCGGAAATGGGGAATTTGAAGGGTGGGGATCAATACTAAAGGAGCTTCCTACCAGCTAGTTTGAAAGGCTAAATAGACAAATGAGTAAAGATTTAAATTATAATAGAGGATATGCCTCCTCTCTCCTGAGTTGGTAGGGTCCTGAACAGAATGATCGTTAAGGGTTTTGAGGTGATATCATCCATCCATCAGGTCTCTCCTAAACACAGGGGTTCATCCCACGATATCATAATGATAATATGAACATTGATTGATGGAATTTGATCTGGAAGGATTTGTGTTTTAACATAGTAATTACTAACACCTACTATTTTTGGCCCTGTGCTTACATTACCTTTCTAGGTCTGCCATAACAAAGAACCATACGTTGGGCAGTTTAAACAATAGAAATCTAATTCTGGAGGCTGGAAGTCCAAGGTCAAGGTGTGAGAAGGGCTGGTTCCCTCTGAGACCTCTCTCCTATGTGTACAGATGGCCATCTTCTCTCTGGGTTTTCATATGGTCTGTTCTCCATGCCTGTCTATGTTTGGTGACATGGTATCTGAAAGAGGGCACATGAGGAGGGTCCAGGCAGTGAGCGTCCTGAGGGCCAGGGGGAGAGGTAGCCAGTGTAAAGGCCCCGAGACAGGCATGAACACAACAGAGAACTCAGAACAGGTCACAGGCACTGCAGATGGTTTCCTGTGGGCCACATGGATTTTGAATTTGTTTAAAATAGCTGTTTACATTTTAAAGTTGTTGTTTTTCCATATACTTGCAACTTTTCAAAGTTTCATCAGTTACTGAGAGCCTTTAAAGAGTCATTTCCGTGGGTCTCCATTGCTGGGGTGTCCTTCCCACCTGGCACAATCCAGTGGCCCCACACACAGCCTGGCCCTGTGCTCCTATGGGCACCAGGCTTCCGGAGCATGCATACACAAGTCATGCTTTCGAGAAACTTCTAGCTTGAAGAAATGATGTGCCAATTTAAATTGCAGCACTGGATTCTATCAAAAAGTGACATATAAACCTAAGTTCTTGGGCTGTCTGGGGAGAATTCCCCTGCCCTCACTGGCAGCAGGGGTCCAAGTCTTTCCTTTATGGCAATAAAGATGCTTGAGTACAGATTTTATATTCAAGATACTATCTGCTATTAGGTGCCCTTTTCTTTTTCATATGTCAGCTCATCTAATCCTATTGCAGCCTTATTGGCACGGGAATTATTCTGGTTTCTTAGTTGAGGGTACTGGGGTTCTGAGGCATGCATGGGATCACTAATGGCAGATAACCATTCATGCTAGAGCCACATGTTTGATGCAATAGGGGTAAAGTTTTAAAGACTATATCTGAGTAAAAAGAGTCAGAGGCAGAATTGTGTATCTCCCAGGAAGCAACTGATTACAGGCACGCAAAACAGTACACATTTTACAGACACACACAAAAGGATACACAGTGAATACACTGGAATTGTTCCAACTGGGTAAAGAAAAGAGCATTTTTGGGGTGAAAG